CCCCATTTTCTCTCTGTTTGACGGAACATTCAGAGGATAGTCAAACATAAGGGCGTACTATACGCTCAACGGAAGGGTTGCATCAAATACCGAATCCCCTTAACGCGGGGATAACCTTGCATTTGTCTTGTCGAAGTTACTAAAATTTTGCTGTTTTCGTGATTTAGTGCTTTATTGCTTCCTACTGACCATAATATAGATTTTCTCTGGTCCATCTCGTGACTTGTCGGGAAATGTGGCGTCAAATTTAGCGTAGTTGTAGAGTTTTCAAGCTTGTTTGACTATGCATACATGCGCGTATAATCAATACGTATTTTCCAACATGGGCATTGACAGAATTCAATGTCTGGAAAGGCAGGACCATTGGACAGTGAGTTTTTCGACATCAAAAAGATATAAATATGCGCTTAAAATATGCTATAATAGTAAAATAAAAATATAAATATATAAATATTAATGATAATTTAAGTGGCTCTTTCTGGTAACCGTCCCAAGCGGCCAATTGGCGGTCGTGAGGGTGCCAAGTTGTAAACCGGCCTGTAGTCGTTAAGAGTATTGCTCTTGAAATTTGAGATTTGTAATGATAAATATGCATGATTGGGAGTGATCAGTCAGTCCTTACGGACCAATCGATAGCCATGTTTTTCATGTGGATCAGTTTCAGATGTTCCCTGAACGCTCTTCATCCTATCTATTCACAACTGTACAGAAAAGCAATACCAAGAAACGGCGAAACGGAACCGTTGAAAGTTCACGTTGGTTTCTATGTGGAGAGTCTCGGAAACTTTCGGTCTACTGAAATGGTACGGTTTGCGATCGATGACCGTGCACATACACTACTGGCCCAATCAATAATTCAATAATCGATCGCTATTTAGACGTTTGACATGGATCTTTACATGTATATGAGTTGGCAGGATATTCGAATGAAGCACAATCAGTCGGACTACGTTCTAATTAATGGTGCGATGATTGCCTTTCGCTAATCGATATATCGATTTTTTGACACCCGGTAGTTGTGCCTCGCTCAGCCAATCAATATAGCGTTTCCAGATAAATCGATTCTGGAGAAGATTTGGTTGCCGGATTTGTATTTTGCAAACGCTCGGACGGCCTACTTCCACGAGGTCACCGTCCATAACTTCAACATGTTCGTTTCACCCGAGGGTGTTATCGCATACGGAACGAGGGTGACGCTCAACCTAGGTAAGACTGGGAGACGTTCAGCCTAGGTCTGAGCATCAGATCTGCGCGATTACTGAAGAATTCTGTTAGGTTCAGGCTTAGGCTAAGGCGTAGGTTTATTCTTACACATGGGCTCATGGCTTAGGCTTTCGAGCAAATCAGCGGTGTCCTAATTTGAGGTGACCTGAACTGGGGAAGAGGATTGAAATACACCCGGTAAAACTATTTCTTGAAGTTCTTGTATCAATCAATAAGAGCTGGCGAGTCAATGCGCTACCCTTTAAGGACCATATAATTTTCAGTGTCAGTGTCAAAATGTGCGCAGCCTCATATATCACGCATGGGCTAATATTGGAGACGTTGCTCTCGTCCGGGATCGCGTTCATAGTCGGCGATTCAATCGTACGAATAGGCGACTATGAACGCGACCAAGGCGATTGTTCAGTTCAACACAAAAAGAGCGAGTTCAGTTCGATGTTCTGATAAGTTTTACTCGTTTCAAAAGCGGCGCAAAAGGCGATGTTCAGACAAAAAAGGTGGAACAAACAAAAAACAAACAAGAAGCTGATTTTGAATGCTACCGATTTCAGCCTGCCATCTCAACTTGCAAGACTATCCACTGGATCACCAAACGTGTCTGATCAAAATTATCAGCTGTGAGTATTTCAGCGACTTTTTCCAAGTCTATCGTTTTTGTTTTCTGTCCTGGCTGAATAGCTCTATGCCCTAAGAAAGTCTGTGGAGCTTTTGCTTGCTGCTGAAGCCCAAACGGCTTTGCCCTTCTCCTACCGCAAACGTCGATATTTCACAATATTCTGCTATTCCTTATTTTAGGCTGTGGAAAGCTCAATAGATAACATTCATAAGTCTTTTTATAAAGGTAAAACGTGAGGCATCCGGTATTGATCGATCTCTTTTGAAGGTGCGCCACGCACTCTCCTTCTATTTAGAACCGTGGTGACATTTTGAATTGTCGAGTCTACACTTTGAACTTGCTGAGGCCAGCCGATGCAAGCTTCCAGGCCAGTCTGGTACCCATTCATCGGAGAGATAGGAGGCTTAGTTGGCTTGGACTTTATGCGAACTAGAATTTCATCCTTGAACCGTGCGGAATAGCGTCGCATGCCATGCAACGTCCCCCCCCCCCAGTCTTAGTATTGCACATGAAAATGAAGTGAATAGCCTTTTTTCACATTGCACTCATGTCTTGGGACTATGTGCATTGTTTGTAAAACGATATTTTACTGAAGAAATCCAACAGATTCATGGTTTCAACAAATTCGAAATGAAACACTTGATGATGTGATCAGTAGCATCCAATAAACTATAGGGGGGGGGGGTGAGGTAGGAAGAGGGAAACAGTTGACGCTGCGCTGTGGAGAGAATGAAGTGGCATTCAAATTCCCCATTTGTTTTACACTATTTTTTTTCATACCCAGGATCGTGTTAGAAGAGTTACGCAAATCTAATGTATCAATCAATAATCGATCTTTTATGCCCGTTTTTTGAATGGTAAAAAAGTTCCCGTGACATATTCCTAATAAATTAGTTTAATAGGTTCTATTTTATTGATTCTTTTTCGCGTGTTTCATAAATGGCCTTTCGATCGGTTGTTGTTGGTGAATATTTGCTGGCTGCTAGTAATATCGTTTGCATGAAGATTAATTGTAGCAATAGCAGACGCCGAGTAGCGCTTATAATAGTTTTTGATGGGTTTGGTCGTTGGATGGGATGATTACGATGTGTTGTATGGACACAAACACTTGGTAATTAAAGGCAGTAGGCGACACTAGGAAGGAAAACAGCGGGGGAATTCCAGAGCGTCAAGTATTGCGTTCACTATAGGCCATACATAACACAACATACACATAAGTAGCTGCAAGAAATTCAATCGATATATCGATCTCAAGAGAGGAAATCAATCGATATATTGATCATGAGCATAGATTACTCTAAAAGGTTGAAGATGATTCAAAGAATAGAACCACGACGTTCTCAGCAAAGCAGACAGCAGATTGCGCTTGATGGCATGCGACGCTCTCTGATAACGAGGCTTTGTGACAGTTTTTTGATAAGAAGGTTTTCGTAACTTCTCCCATCAGCTGAGCAATTGATGAAATTGAAGAAGGTTCTTTTTTCATTTTTTCGTCAAATTTTCCGACTGATACATCGCCTGGCTTCTGAGCTCGAGCTTTGTGAATTGTAGTGTTCCACAGATTAGTTGGTCGTTGAACGGATGATGCGTGAGGTGATTGAAAGCTGATGTTCGCACCCCCTGGGGAACCACAACGGGGCTTTGGTCTAATAGAGCACTTCGGAGAGGAGTCGATTTTCGCTCGGATTGCTAGATGCTAAGATTGGAGAAATTCCGCTTGACGATTTCCATTAGGAGTACGGGGACCGGATGGAAGTAATCGATTTATCGATTTTTGTTGGCGAAAAATGCCAATGAAAGAAAACCTTAGCAAAAAGGATACACATGGTATATAAATAATGTAGCCAAATAGTAAATATGTTTTTGGCGCTATCGCAATCCCCTACTACTAAGTATAGGAGGGAGCAGGAACTTAGGGGAAAATAGGAGTTCTTCACGCACCCTGAGGTCT